GCAACCCATTAGAAGCTTTTCCAGAAGAATAAGGTAGGGAAAAGATGAGGATGAAGCCCAAACTCCCAACAGCAGAGTGTTTAAATGCCTCACTAAGATGCCCCCAAGCTAGGTCACAAAGGGATGGAAGCCTCTCCCTGATGTGTACCTTTGCTCTGAGGTGACAGCTAATTGAGAATCTCTTGACTTTGGTCATTTGCTGGGAACAGCACCATAACATTCTTTTATGACCATTTGTGTTGTACAGATTTTCTCGTGTTACTGGAAAAGAATAGTGTGAACACACAGTCATCTCCACCTAGACCTAGGCTGATTTATGCTACTGTCTTCACAGTCTCAGGTTAAGTATTATACTGCTGCCCGCCAGCAGTGCAATACTTGACTGTCTGACTGTCAGCATTTCCATCATAAATTTCTGTTTTCAGAAGCTTATGACTTCGTTGTAAAATGTCGCTTGGGGGAGGAATCTTGCAAGGTCGTTTTAAGTTACAAGACAGCAAACAAAATAAAAAAGTTAGAGGTTTCTAACACTTTCTTTGCACTTCATCATTTAAAAGGACCTATAAAATTCTTGTTCTGCTGTTCTGCTGTTCAGCTGAGTGTGACAAACCTGTGTATGGTGTTATTAATACTACTATCTCTTTAGGAAAGATACTTAAATAATACTTGAATGGTATTTTATTGTGGGATTATAAAAAACAATTTTTATTTCATTGATTCAGTGTTACCAGTTAAGTCCCTCCTCAAGGTATATACCAATATCTCCTTGCTCCCTTTTCCAAAGCCCAAGGAGCTCTTCAATTGAACTCATGGTACCTCAGGCTTGGATTATGCAAATTGCTCAGCCAAATTATCTGATGGCTCCCAACTTTCCAGCTTCCTCCCTCATCACCTTCCAGAGCTGCATATTCATTTTCATCTTATGGAGTCCCATTGATATTTGTCTAGGGATCCTGACCCATCTGTCCTTCCCTGGAGTTTGCTTCTCCCTGAAAGTGATGCTTCACACCTGTCAATTTTCTTAGGGATGCACAAAGTCCATCAAATTTTTTCCAGGTTGCAACAGCAGACGAAAATATGAGGGTCTCGGAGACACATCCCCACACAGAACTCCTCACCACCTGCAGTGTTGCTCTGAGACTTTTCCAGGGAGGCCTTTCAAAGGAAATATATCACCACAGGCATTGGAATATTTTACAGATAACACAAAAAGGCTTTGGAGCATGTTTGGGATTTCCTGTTTCACCTGAGATATTCAATTATCCTGGGATATCCTGAGATATGCAATTTCCTAGGAGATGCAAGATGTGACAAATCATTCTTCTGACTGAAAGTAGGAATGATCTGTATAATATCTAAGCCTCTACTACCAACCCAGATGCTGGACTTATTCAAGTTAAATTATAGCACCTTTTCAAATCACCTTCAATTAAACCCTTGAATAAGGAAGAACAATGCACTTTACCTCTTCATAAATGAATCCCTAAACTGACTGAATGTTATTTATCCCCTGGTGCTGCTGACTTCTATGTCTCCAATATAGCAACATCACTGATCCTCAGAAATCTCTCTCTAAATATTCCACCTTTTATTTAGCAAAACAGCACCACTGCTTTGTCACTACTGTGATTTTGTCATTCTTTTATCTTCTCCCACCTTAACATCTGAAACTCATCCTTTGTGGGCCTGTGGAAAGCCAGGTCTTCCAGAACATACAGTTATCTCTTTATAAGTGGCAACACTTTAGGATGAAGATAAATATTTCCTTCCATGCTCTCAATACCTTTCCCTATCCAGTAATTCCAGCCTCCCTCAAAGACCTTACTATCTCTGATCTGCTTTTTACTCATACCATCAACAATACCACTAATGTTGTTTGTTTGCCAAACTCATAAAATATCAACTTTAAAATTATATCTTGCAATCTGTCTTCAAATACAGTTTCTGTGGATTTTTTTTTGTATTGTTTTGTTCTGTTTCATATTGCTGGTTTGTTGTTTTTTTTTTTTTTTAAGGATGAAAGACTATGATTTTGTTCTAGGCTCTGAAGAATACACTTACATTTTCAAAATGAAAGATCAGCTGCTGAAATTACTAGATGATTCCCAAGAACAGGTATTTAAGAAAAACATCCACAAATTTAAGTGCTGTGATGACAAGGGCATCACGGTGTCATTCCCTCTTTTAACAGGCAATCTTACAACAGACTGAACTCAAAGCTTCACATCCAAAGAAGTGCCTCCTTTTTTCCAACATCCTACTTCTAGTAAGAATTTCTGCCCCCTCCTATTTCTTCTCATTTCTCTCTCTGCTCTAGGATAGGCTGTGTCTAGTCTCAGCTTCTGCTTGACAGTGTCAGCAGAAGCACCCCTGCCAAAAGACCACAGCAATGCAAGCCCTGTGGAATGCCAGCTCCCACGAAGAGTCTGAAGGCAGGTAATATAGCCTTGAAGTAAAAAGCATGGGCCAGGGGTCAGGCAGAAGCAGATGTGCAGAGGTTATAGCATGGATTAGCTTTTATGAAGCCACAGTCGAAGTCTAAAGTTTCCCTTCTCTGGCCCCTTGCTCATAACTCTCCTCCCCAAAATCTCCCCTGGGGTGTACCCAGGCACTGTTGGCTCTGGCCACAGAGAAATGGAAAAGATTCAGGAAAATCTGTTCAGTTGGTTTTGAACAGTGCAAAAGAGAGGAAATTGTTTCATGAATTAACTTTCACTCAGATCTAGTTTTGTATGCACATGGTCTAAGGGAGGTTGTTAATGTCACCAGACATAACTAAGATCATTTTGATCCAGGAACATTTGAAGTTCTCCAGGTTATAAATGATTAAGTAGCCACCTGCAGTACTATAATACTGCTAATCATACCCACTTAGAAGAAAAATCTGACAATAGCTGCCTACCTTTAGACTTCTGATTGCTTTCTGAATGAATATACTTATTTTGAGACTGACTATTTCTATGATTGGGCAGACTCAGAAAGTGACTTTTAATCATCATAAAATGTAATTAATAGCTTTGAAACATCACATTTCAAAATGGTCGTATGCTGCATCATTTCAGCATATGTAAGTGTAACTTTTTCCCTGGTGATTCTGTGGCTCTGCTTAGAGCTATGTTAAGCATCATGGCACATTCCACAGTCAGGCAAGAATATACTGTGATCAAAGTTCCCAGGTCAGAATAGCCAGGATCTTCACCTAGGGCGCTGATTTGAACTTCTAAAATCTTATATGGACTGAAATCCAGTTTCCATTCCCTGCCTATACTGCACTGTACCCTACATTGTACCCACTCAACATGTGCTCGTGACATAGGTACACTAGAATACCTAGTGACTTGATGACTACGAGCAAAGCTAAAGAAATTAACAACCTTTGTTTGGTTTGACATACAGGAAGAATATAACAGAAAGCACTTCTTTAAAAGAAGAAAGTCAGTTGGTCATGTAAAATTAAATTATTGTATTGATAATTCAGCAAAGACAGGAGTCATCATTCAACTATGACTAAATTCCTGGATGATTTAGTCTCACTCAGATTAGTGGGAGATCTGCTGTAGACTTTGATGGAGTGAAGGTCTTACCCTACTGTGGTTTGCATGGTGAATTACACAACCTACAAGTTAGATCATTAAAGGGTTCCTGAAATAAGTACCATAATTAAATACATTTTCACAAAGTAAGTCAATTTTCAAAAATGCGAGTTTATCCATGACTTAGACTAACTATATTTAGTGAGCTAGAAAAATTCATGTTATTATCTGCAAGAATGCACAAGGATCAGTATGCCATCTTTCACCATAAATGTTTTGCCTTTTCCCATTTGAATTCAGACCATATTATCTTAACATTTTTTGTGCATGTTGACCTTTCACATCAAAGGCAGCAGTAACACTGCAATGTCATTTTTCTTGAAAGCTAACTTTTTATCACACTGTAACTCATTTCACTCAGTGGTATTATGACTCCAACAGAAGTGCCATGATATACCAAGATATGATGGATTTCAGAGAAATTTGCAAGACGAAGAAGTAATTTTGCCTCCTCTACAAAGCACAGTGTTATGAATATTCTGTAGAAACAATGATCTCAGATTTTTTTCCCCTTTTTCCTTTGAAGCAGAAGACTGATTTGCAGCAGAATTGCAAATTTCTCTCCTTGTTTTTTCAATACCTTTCTATATATAGCACTCTATTTCTTGGCTTTTGAAAAAAAACCTGTTTGATTGGAGAATGTTTCAAGCTGAAGAGAATCTATGTAAATATTCCCTGAGAGTAAACATGGAGCCTTGTCTATCTGTACTAACAATGAAGTACATAGTAATAATATGTTGCCCATTCTGTCTAAAATGTCTGACTACTCCATGAGGGTTTGTTCTATGCAAATATTTCTTCTTAAGCTCTTTTCTTAGCTGCAGTTCAAGGAAGCCGCAGCTTTCAAGAAAGACACGTTTCCTCAGTTACAGTTCCTACCCTTTGCTCTTCTAGCTGCTAAATTTACTTTCTCCTGTTGCAAAATCTTTGACAAATATTTAAACAGTTTCATAGAATGATTTGGGTTGAAAGGGAACTTAAAGACTATCTAGTCTCTCTCCAGATTTCTTAAAGGACCCTTCAGGTACTGAAAGACTGCAGTAAGTTCACCCTGGGACCTCTTAAGCACAGGCCTTGGTTTCTTTACCAAGTATGTGCTTTTTGCTGTAGGACATTTATTATTACCCGAGATTGATCCTGAAAGGATAACTCACTATTCCTAGCCATTTTTATTTATAGGTATATACATATATGTATATATACATGTATGAACCGGTTTTTAGAGCAATGAAATGAACATCCTTCCTCACTGGCATTTCTTGGTAGAAAGAACGGATACAATGGGATCAAGGTGCTGCTCTGCATCTTCCATAGCTGTGAGACTTCAGAGCTACAGAACAGACAGCATTTGCAAAGGACCAAAGGTGAGAAAATGTGCATGAATCAAAGTAAGAGCAAAGGTTTCACCTGGCAAAGCCGACTCCTCTGCTGACTCCATTCGCATCTCTTAATATTCTGGTGGAAATGACATGTCCAAAGGGTTTCAGCATATTCTCCAGTTCCTGCTCATCCATGGACACAGGTAAATTTGAGATGTATAGATTTGTGGGATCTTGCTCTTGTTGCTACGACAAAATAAGAGAAATATCCTCAGTTAGGCTTAACATAATAGAATAGCTTGTGGCTCCTACAATAAGGGACAGTTAAAATAGGATCAAGCCAAGAATTCATAGCTGCACTGGAAGAAAAGCTGGGTAATCTTTTCACGACAGCAACGTATTTGCCAGATTTCTGCAAACTCTCATGCATGTGCGTAATTCTGTGCGTGATTGCTCTTATTGAACTCAGTGGCACTACTAATTTATAGAAAATGACTCTCATGCACAAGTATTCTTGCATTTGTGTCCTAATTTAGCAAAGAGATTGTGAAAAAAATGTGATTTCCACAAATGTGCTAATGTTAACATAAATAAAGAACAAAAATTCAATATCTATTTTAGGCAGATGTGCTTTCCAGCCTGAACACTTCTCATTCAGCCTATTCATTGTGAAAAAGGTTGCTTGAAAACACAGAACACTTTTCATAGTATCTTTTTCCTTTTCTTTCCCCTTCTTCTTTCATAATAATGAGCAGTAAGATCTAACTGGGCTGGGGGCAGGAGTGGGAATTCTGCAGTTCAACCGATGGTCCTAGTGAGATAGGTCACATGTTTATTCTGAGACTAAATCAAAAAAATCTTCTAAAACAAAGCCTGTAGCATGAATAATTGGAAAAACAAATTTGAAAGCAGCTCTCTTGTTCTATTTCAGATCTTTAGGCTAAACTTTCCATTTTGGTAACTACCCCAACTCCTATTCTTGCTTGCTGAATTACTGCGAAACAACATGAAAGAGACATAGATGCCATATGTAAAATAAGTGTATTAAAGCAGTAAAAAACCTCTTGTCTACAGACAACCAGGTCTTGATTGCATTAAATCAATTTAGTTATGCCCTTGCAGATTTACATGGCTCTGTCCATTTTGATTGATACAAGGTTTACATAATATCTGATTACCTGCCAGTATAAGCCTGACTGGGATCAGGCATTACTACATAATTTCAGCTAATGTTAAATAACCAAAAATATAAGATGCAATCATTATACTGTGCAGTAATCCACAGTATATCTTCTCTGAGAAAGTTCTCTGAGACAGTTTTTAATTCTTTTTATTCCACATTTTAATGGGCAGAATTAATTTTTACTTGTTCAACACTGAGTTGACAACAGCAATACCCTTTTTTTGCTGAGTTGTCCTAAAATCAGATTAATAACCTTGCAGCAGTGCTGCAACCTTGCAATGTTATGAAATTACATACAGTCCTGCAGCCATCTGCCCTGGTTTAACTAAACTAGTTTCAAATTACACTCCATTAAAATCAGTGAGAATGTGCCTTGTCAAACACAATCATGCATTCTGTTTTGAGAAGATGTATGAAGACAGGATAAAACCAAGATGTCTGCTCTATCACTGCCTTGTACATTCAAGGCTTCAATACTGGAAAGAGAAATTGCTTCAAGCTATGATACACACACACCATCTTTGAAGGGACAAGAATGACTAAGGCAAATCTAATGTAGCTGAATACCAGAATCAGAAGCTGAAGGAAGTTTTTAGCTTTTCTTACCCCAGGCTCAAGGGCAATTTCAGCCTTTTTGGATGAGACAAAAAACTGAAAATGGATACCCCAAAAGGTCCAAAATCAGGAGGCATGTAAGGCTGTTGTACTGTTTAATGTGGATTCTGATCTCAGGGCTATGGATGCTTGTCTTTGGACATACTGGCAAATGACCACTGCATTCTAGCTTTGCATCTCCACACTCACTACCCCACGAAACAACACATTACCGTGCATGATGAATTCTTCACTGTTTTACAAAACATAAATAAAAGACCAAAGTAGGCATGTTTTCAAGCTGCTGTCCATAAAAATATACCCAGTTGTTTCTATGTCTTACAGTAAGGGGCAGAAGAGAGGAGAGGAACACCACACACTGAACACTGAACTTATTGCAGATTCAACTGTCTGAAGTTACAAACTTCAAATCTAGAAAAACCTTCTTTCCCTTTTCAGTTATCTTTCCCTGCAGTCATCTTCCTTCCTCTCACATCAATTTACATTTATACACATCCAAAAGCTAGTTCCTCTCCAGTAACCAAAAGATGCTAGTGAGGGGTCAGAACTGCTACAGTACCAACAATGGAAGGGAAATCATGCAAACAGTCCTGGAGGGAAGGTAGACAAGAAAAGAAAAGGAATATGAGCTTCAGATCACACTTTTAGCTTTGGGAAAAGCAAGGAGACAAGAATGCAAATAATTTTCTTTCTCTCTCTCTCTCTTTTTTTTTTTTTTTTTCTTTTCATTTTTCATTTTTTCTGTATGCAAACTATTTCAGTTTTACTGATTGGTAGTTCCTCCCTTTTCCACCCTCCACACCCCGAAGACACACAAAAAAAATGAAAGATGTAGGAATTTGGAAGCACCTTCATTGTTACTAAGTACTTTGAAAGGGTGAGAAATAGAGGTAGATAAAGCAGAGCCATTCAAGAAGCAAATCAAAGCAGAAAGTTTTGCAATTCCAATTGGCACAGTTCTTCAGAAATAATTCAATTTTTATGCAAACCTCTACCTATTGATTGGTTAAGGGCTTTGATTAATCCACCAATCAATGCTCAAGGACTAACATCTCTTGCTAATATTTAGAAAAAAATATGCTGATGAAATCCCTGTAGCCAAAGACCAGACTAATGTGGAAAAGTGGAGTTATGCATCAGTAACTTCACGACAGTCTCTGCTTTCACTGAAGCAACTCAGTCCCGCAGCACATTAAAATGAGAATTCTCCCTTTGACTACTCAGTTTTCAAGCTGGGCCAAACAAATAAATAAGAACCGTTGCCAATGTGTCTCACTTCTAAACCAGGAACACATAAGCCTTTTAACTGTGCTAGAGATTAAATGTCCTTGTTTTAAATCTGTGGAAAGTTAGCTACACTCTGAGGATGAATGAAAGACTAGCAGACCATAGTCACTCTTTCACAGGGATCTGCCAAGCCTATCTTTTATCAATGTGATAAATAAATGTTGCAAGCAGGGAAAGACAGATGAGACCATTCATGCTACCTCCACAACACAACAGTGTTTTCTAAGAAAGGAAAAAATTCACATTATTTTTCCTTACTATACAAATATAACATTTAGAGAAATACCCCTTTCCCTTACAGCGAAATATCACCCCACAGAAGCCACAGCTGACTGAAACAGGATGAAATGCCTTCACAGCCATGCAGCTGGGAGCTGAGCAGGCTTTACAGTGGTGGTGTGGAACCCAGCTGCCCTATCACTGTGCAGCCAGACCCCACTGCCACCTACCCTCACGAGTCCCTCTTTCTCAGGCTTGGTCCCACTCCCAGCCTCTGGCACTGAGGCTGAATGTGATCTTTATCAGTTGTGCAGAGATCTCTGATGTTCAGCATGGTGGTGCTGACACATGCCTCTCATTTTGCCCAAGCCTTTTCATCCCAGATTCCACAAGCTCCCGTGTGAGATATTCTCTTCCCCATCCCAGTGCAGCTGCTGAGCTTTTCACTGTCAAAGGTAAGCATCCTGCTGTTCAAAATATGCCTATTTATTGACAAGATAAACCTAACCAGAACCATAAGTCTGAGCACGCCTTTCATAATCTTAAGAGCTGACAACTCAGTTTCTGCCTTCAGTGAAGGAACAGCTCCCAGGGTTTCAGGACTGATGGTGATGTTAGTGTCTGGATCAGGCTTCCTGTGGTTCATTTAATTCTCTCTAAGACTTTTCATTAGACATTAAAAAAATGCTGCTTCCCATCTTGGGCCACAAAAAACCCATTTATTATTGCCTCCAGTCCCAAAATGCACTGACTGACCAGTCATCAGTGAGAGAACTGGAATTTTTTTGTTTGATACTGAAAGTCACTTCAGAACTGCATCTTCCTCCTATGTCCCTAATAGTCTGGGCAGGAACCTAAAGGGTTAGTGGCAGAAAGCTGAACACTCACCACAAACAACTCCAATAGCACTGTGACTTGGATGCCCTGCAGCTGGAGACCTGGAGCCAGTGTGGTGGGGCCACCAGCCAAGCAGAGCCTGGCATTTGCTAGTGATTTCATAGAATCCTAGAATCACTAAGGTTGGAAGAGGCCTCCAAGATCAAGTCCAGCCATTAACCTAACACTGCCAGATCTACCACTAAACCGTGTCTCTGAGCACCATATCTATGTGTCTCTTACAAACTTCCAGGGACCTCTCTGGACCTCTCTTTCTACCTCAGGAGTGACACACCTGTAGATACAGTCTTCCCAAAGCACTCCTGTCCCTTGGATCTAATCCCCCACGAGTGAGAAGGGCCTCCCCAGGGGGACCAGGGTCAGCCACTGCAGCTGACCACTGGCCTGGAGGCTCACAGGAGCAGGGGGCTGCTGGGAGCAGTGGAAGGCTCTCCACAGTGTGGAAGCAAAGCTCCTCTGCCCTTCCCAGGCCCCGTGCCAAACATGGGCAAAATAATGGGTAAAACACCAGGCCAAGTTGCTGCTTCATGAAGAGAGTGGTGAAGGCAACCATGCAGCCTGCTGGGTGTGCCAGCTGCAGAAGAACCATGCTCAAGACATGCAAACTTGCAAGCACAGTCTCAAGGCACGATCAAAAGCCTGCTCCTGTCTATCCTCACAGATGTTCATTTTAGCCATGATCTCCCACTTGACAGCCCAAGGATTTTCCATGTACAGCTTGCACTTGCACTGCAGCCTCAAAGAAGCAGGGATAAACTTATCCAGTCAGTCCCAATCCTATGAAATCCTGGCACAGCCTCACACCTTAGGCTAAGCGCATTCTGGGATCCCGGTATGTGCCAGTCTCTGTGGGTACACTGAGTGCCAGAGAACGAGCCAGCAAAAACAACAAAAAAGAAATTAAGTCAATTTAAGCTCCTCTCCAGAGAAGTGCATGGCTTTTTGCAACTCCCTTTGCTCCCACTGCAGCCTATTTTACCATCATTGTATGAGCATAATACCTCAGCTCCTCTGGTCCTTGCATTCCAGGGGCCATAGCTGCATG